TTTTTGGGCTAAGGAACACAAAACCTTTGTTTTGAGGGTCCATGTTAGTGGCCGTTAGCATCTTTAAAGTCTTGCAAGAATGTTGGACCTGGGAAAACTTTGGAAGGGGCACAAACATGAAATCATTCTGGGGTACCCCCTTTGTTGGCCCAAAAAATGACTCAGAAGAGCCTTTTTGAATAGAGACTTGTGACAAGAAAAGCATGATATTTTGGTTTGAAATCTGCACGGGGATCTTGGATGGTACCATCCTTTGTTGTGGCTGAACATAGACCATGCATCTAGCACCAGGGTCTAGGTAAACAAAAACAATAGGGAACCATTCTCATCAAACATGGGCATGATCTGCTTTGGGGACTTGTGTGGAATGTTTTGGAAACCGCCTCCAAACTTTGGCCACAGCATGCCAAAGCTACACCACCCCTACCATCAGGGTCTAGGTGAGCCTTCTTGCTGCTTTTGCATCGTTAGTTTCTACTTTCTTTTGGCTAAGGAACACAAAACCTTTGTTTTGAGGGTCCGTGTTAGTGGCCGTTACGATCTTTAAAGTCTTGCAAGAATATTGGACCTGGGAAAACCTTGGAAGGGGCCACAAGCATGAAAATCAATTCTCGGGTTACCCCCTTTGTTGTCCCAAAAAAAATGACTCAGAAGACCTTTTTGAATCAGAGATTGTTGACAAGAAAGCATGATAGTTTTGGTTTTGAAAATCTGCACGGGGATCTTGGATGGTAAACCATCCTTTGGGTTGTGGCTGAACATAGACCACTGCATCTATCCGGGTCTAGGTAAACCATAAAAAACAATAGGGAACATCTCATCAAACATGGCTGATCTGCCTTTGGGGAACTTGTGTGAGTGTTTTTGGGAAACCGCCTCCCAAACTTTGGGCCACAGATGCTAAAGCTACACCCACCCCTACCATCAGGGGTCTAGGTGAGCCTTCTTGTTGCTTTTTGCATCGTTAAGTTTTCTACTTTTTTTCCCGAAGAGCGTTTGAGCGCAGGGTTCTTCCAATATGGGGGTCTGTATCTCATCTGCTCATCTTCACACCTTCCCATCTTCACATCTTCTCATCTTCACATCTGCTCATCTTCACAGCTTCCCATCTTCACATCTGCTCATCTTCACATCTGCTCATCTTCACATCTGCTCATCTTCACATCTGCTCATCTTCACACCTTCCCATCTTCACACCTTCTCATCTTCACATCTGCTCATCTTCACATCTGCTCATCTTCACATCTGCTCATCTTCCATCTGCTCATCTTCAAAATCTGCTCATCTGCTCATCGTCACATCTGCTCATCTCACATCCTGCTCATCTTCACACCTGCTCATCTTCCAATCTGCTTCATCTTCACATCTCCTCATCTTTCTTCACATCGCTCATCTTCACCTCTGCCGTTTGCTCTCTCCTTTTTCTCCTCTCGCCTTCTCTTTATCTTTCTCCTTAGGCCGAGGGTGGTACCGGCGCGAGTCACGAAATGTCACAACCCTTTTCGCCGAAATGATGGTCGTCAGCAAAAACTGAGTAAAATGCGATTTACTGTTGCTGTAGCAAACCCTTTCGCACGAAATGAGGGTCGATCGCAAAAACTGAGGTAAAATTGCGATTTTACTTGTGCTGGAGCAACCCTTTCGCACGAAATGAGGGTCGATCGCAAAAACTGAGGTAAAATTGCGATTTTTCTTGTGCCGGACTTGTCCCGGAGCAACCCTTTCGCACGAAATGAGGGTCGATCGCCAAAAACTGAGGTAAAATTGCGATTTTTCTTGTGCCGGACTTGTCCCGGAGCAACCCTTTCGCACGAAATGAGGGTCGATGGTCAAAAACTGAGGAAAAATTGCGATTTTTCTTGCCGGACTTGTCCTGGAGCAACCCCTTCGCACGAAATGATGGCCAGTGGACCCGACCATGCTGAATGGCATGCAACAGCTGCGATAGTCTGCGGGCAGTGATCGCTTCAAGGTTTTGCAGGACAATATCGGGACGGACACAAGTTTTAGTTAGGCTCGCCATGACATTACACACTTGGTCACGTATTGTGATGAGGTGCACATTGTCAAGTCGTCATCTTAGATCTTTGCAATATTTAGATTAACAGCCTTATTAAATTTCACGAGTTCCTGGGATTTTGTGATTTTTAGGGAATATTGGATATCAAGGTCAAGATGCAATATTTGGTGCAGTGTACGCGCGCAAGGGTGGCACCAAAAAACTTAAGCGTCATGGTTGCACGGGTTTGCACTGGATCAGGCTTCCATAAATGGAATTGGTCCAATTAATCGTTCAGAAAAAATGAAACGGTCGGAAACGGTCGGAAACAGTCGGAAACGGTCGGAAACGGTCGGAAACATGATCAGGCCAAAACTTGCCCAACCCGCATTTTTTTTAAAATAAGCATTTCCGCGCGACGCGTTTTTTTTTGAAGGTCGAAAGGTGTCCAAGGGGAAACGGTTGGAAACAGTCGGAGATGGCACCTTCGCTCGGCAAAAAAGTAGTTATTTTGTAGCATATGTTCATGAAAAATGATTGAAAATTGTGTAAAAACATGTCTTTTTTGCCGAGCGAAGGTGCGATCTCCGACTGTTTCCAACCGTTTCCCCTTGGACACCTTTGGACCTTCAAAAAAAAAACGGCGTTGCGCGGAAATGCGTATTAAAAAAAATGCGGGTTGAACAAGTTTTGGCCTGATCATGTTTCCGACCCCTGAGCATCCGATATTGATTACAATCAATATGGGGCAAGCACTTTTGATTTCAATGTTTTTTCAATATAAAATATTGATTTCAGAGCCCTTGGTGTTATTTTTCTATATTGATTTGTTTGCTGGGTTTGAAAAGCAAGCCAAAAATCAATATAAAAATCCATATAAAAATCAATATCAAAATCAATATAAAAATCCATTTAAAAATCAATATTTTCCAATGTTTCCACTTGTCTCCCCTTTCCCTTTTGGACCCCAGACATTGCAGCACCAGCCCCCTCTTTTGGAGGGTTGTATGTACAAATTTCAAGGCAAAGTGTTATCCTTTGCCAAGGATCAGGACCCTTTCTCAAGGATTAGCTCCATCACTCCCTTTTTCAAGGGATGTCCTTTCTCAAGGGATGCCCTTTCTCAAGGGCCTCTGGCAACTTACCCTTTTGCAAGGGTTCTATCCTTTTGCAAGGATCAGTGCTGGTATCTTTCCCTTTCCCAAGGGATGTCCAAAGAGCTCCAGGGCTAAGGTGGCAGTGCCCTTTTGCAAGGGGTTTCCTTTTGCATTAAGGAGCATCCTTTCTCAAGGATTGATTTTGGCAATTTCCCTTTTGCAAGGGACATCCTTTCTCAAGGATTGCTTGTGGCAAACTCCCTTTTTCAAGGGGCACCCTTTCTCAAGGGCTAGTCTTGGCAATTGCCCTTTTGCAAGGGCAATCCTTTTGCCAGGGTGTCCCTTTCTCAAGGGATAGCAGAGCCAAGCTATTCAACCTCGGTTTGCAGATGAAACCCTGGCCTTGTGCACAGAAGATGTAATAAAATTCTGTACTTGATGGCCAGTTTTTGGCTGATCTTGGTTGCTTTCACACCCATGGACACACTGTGGGTCACAGTACTTATGTGACCCACATAGTCTTCTGCCTTGAAGCACCAGAAGACTCTGGGATTAAAATACCAGGCATCTTTTGCAAGATGTAGAAATGTATGGTGCTTGATGACTATGTGGAAGGAACTCCTTCCACAAGCTTCCGACCATGCATTCAGCCACTGGTATTCTTTCATGGCATCTTGTGCCAATTGCCAAGACTTCTTGAACTCTGCTTTTGTGAGAAATGTTCCTGCAGAGTCCCAGATTGCCACCACCTGGCATACATGCTCTAAGCACTTGAGCATGTGGCTGTGCTCTGGCTTGCTGAAATCCAAGATGTTTTTCAAGACTTCCAGCAGGCATGGAGCCAGGTGCTTGCCTTCACCACCTTTACAGCTCAGGTTGGCCCAGTTTGCCCAAGGCTTCTTTGGATCAGTGAACATGCTTAGCACCAAATTGGTGAGCCTGCGTGTCACTTCTTTGTCGGTGTACACTGCTTGGACCTCTTTTTGCCTGGTGTGCACCTTCATCATACCAGCACAAATAATGCAGGATGGATCCAAGGAGGTGCCCATACAAACCTTTTGTGAACAGGATATGCAGGGCATCTCCTCTCACAAGCCTGCTACTGTTGCCAGGGACCTCAGTTAGCAAGGGGTGTTCACTGCTAGGAAAGGCCTGGGCCCAAGAGTGATCCACCTCTGTGAACTGATCCCATGGATGGAGCTTGTTGTATGGCTTCTCTCCAGCAGCTTGAGGGCAATCGCAATTCCAGCATGGGGATGCATTCCTCCAATGGGGAAGGCCCAAGCTGTTGCTGAAGAATTCATGGTCTCCTTCAATGCACCACACAATGGCCTTAAGGCCTGATGCCAGTGGCTTGCCTTTCTTTGCCCAGAAAGGGCTCCCCTTTTTCAAGGGGTTGCCATCTGCATCATGAGTTGGGTGCTGTCCTTTTGCAAGGGCTTTGAAGGACCAAGCCAATTCTTTCCAGAGCTGTGGCCATGTGTCTTTGCAAGTGCAACTCTTGGGCCAAGCTGCCATGAGCAAGTGGCTGTCCAGGGATTGTTCTTGGGAGAGGAGTGGTCCAAAGCTCCAAACCATCAAGCTGTCCCTGGATTCATATTCCACTCCATCACCATGTGTGAACAGAGGGATGGTGACTTGCTCCCACCCTTTTTCAAGGGTTGCTGGATGGTTAACCAGCCTGTCATCATCCCTTGCCAAGGTTTGTTCCCAAAATTCAGGCAGCTCATGAAGCTTGAAAAGCATTTGAAAAACTTCTGGGTAACTCTCAGCCAATGCACTGAACATGAGGTGTGGGTAGAAAATCGCAACATCCTCATCAATGATTTTGCTGGTCTTGGGGTCAAAGCATTTGCATGTGACCAAGCCAGGCTCAGGCACTGACAGCTGGTTGCAGAAGGACCTTACCAAGGCCCTGTGGCAATTTCCTGGCTGCTCTCCAAAATTCCCAGCTGCTCCAAGAGTTGCAACTTCAGGATGGCTGCAACCATCAAGTGTGGCCAGGTTGGAGAGCTTTTGCACTTCCACTGCAGAGAGCTTGCCATGTGCCCAAAGGGACAATAGCTTTGTAGCCAAGTTGCTGGGTGCAGAACTTGTGGATGGGGTTTCTCCTTCTGTGTCTGCACCCAGATCCATATCCTTCTTCCACCCTCTCAGCCTCTTTGCATTTTTCATGGCTGAGGAAGTGCCTTTTCACAAAGGCTCAGGCAGAAGAGCACTTGGCTGGACCTTTTGCAAGGTCTCTCCCTGCAACCCTTTTGCAAGGGGTGTGGAAGCAGCCCTTTCTCAAGGATTGTCCTTTTGCAAGGGCTCTAGCCAGGCTGCTTTTGGTAAGACCTGCCCTTTTGCAAGGGTGTCCCTTTTGCAAGGGCTGTGCAAGCCAGCAACCCTTTTGCAAGGGTTTCCTTTTGCAAGGGGTGAGAGGCTGACCCTTTTGCAAGGGTGTCCTTGGCAAGGGTTTGCCTTTTGCAAGGCTTTCCTCTACCTTTTTCCAAAGGTTTGCCTTTTGCAAGGCTTTGCCTTTTGCAAGGCTTGCTATACCTTTTTGCAAAGGTGTGCCTTTTTGCCTTTTGCAAGGCTTTGCTTCCCTTTTGCAAGGGTTGGAACTTACCCTTTTGCAAGGGCTTAATCTCCTACTCTACTACCTACTAAACTAAACCTACAGTTTTGAAGCAAAACAGCTGCAGAGGCATGCATGTCACCTCAACCTATACATGCCTTTCCATGCATGCATTTCCCTTCACCATCTCCCCAAGCTGCAGCCAGCAAACTTTTTTCTAGGCATGTGAAGAAGTTCTCCTAGCTTCTATCTACCAAAATTGGATTTAAAAAAACTACCCTTTTGCAAGGGGCTTGCATGACCCTTTTGCAAGGGCTGGCACCCTTTTGCAAGTGTTGGGGCTGCCCTTTTGCAAGGGTTGGGGCTGCCCTTTTGCAAGGGCCAGGAAGCATTTGGCAAGGGGTTACCCTTTTGCAAGGGTCAAAGGGAGTGCCTGTGCCACTAACCCTTTTGCAAGGGCTGTGCAAGCCAGCATCCCTTTTGCAAGGGTTATCCTTTTGCAAGGATCACATGCTAGAAGCTTTGCTGGCTGCCTTGTTGGCAAGCTGCTTCAGCTCCTTGGCCTCCTCCTTGGCTTGCTTGCACATATTGGCACATTCCACCAATGCCTTTTTCAAGGTAGGTGGACCTGGCTTCTTCAGGAGCAAGTCTTTCAACTTGTCCTGGACCTTTTTCAAGGCCTCCACCTTCTTCTCAATTTCATCTTTGGCCATCTTTGAGAGCCTGCTTTTGGCCTTTTGCAAGGTTTCTTCCAGTTCATTGATGCACTTGCTGCATTCATCCCTGGCTCTTTTGGCTCTCTTGAGGAGTTTCGCAGGATCTTCATCATCCTTCTCCTCATCCTGCTCCTCATCCTCCACCTCCTTGTCCTTGATGGCCAATTGTTGGCTTTCCCCTTGGCCTTTTGCAAGGCCTTTGCCTTTTGCAAGGCCTTGGCCTTTTCCAAGGCCTTTGCTTGTGTTCCCTTTTCCAAGGGATCCTTTGGCTCCATCTTGGCAGAGGCCCAGCACCCCAGTGTGGCCATCTGCCTGCCAAAGGCTGTCAAAGGCTTCCTCCTCCTGCTCAGCAGGATCATATTCCACACCCCTGGCAGTGGTTCTACCCTTAGTGACCTTGAAGTTCTTCTCAAGGTCTTGGGTATCTGAGTACTCCCACACACCCCAGGTGGTGGGACTCTCTCTCCAGCGGATCCTGCCTGAGGACAGATGAGCTTCAAACTCATCTTCTTCCCATATTTTCAACATCTCCTTCTTGCTGCTCCATTTCTCCTTTTTGTTCCAAGAGGCGCTGCCAGCAACCTCTTCCTTGACATGGAGAAATCTGCTTCCTGCAGAGCTCTTTTTTAAGAGCCAAAGGGCAGCTGCAAACCCCTTCTCCAGCTTGCCTCTCTCACCATGCTCCCCCTTTTCCAAGGGGTTTCTCTTCAAGTGGGTCTGGTGTTGGCTCCAGACCTTTGCATTCTCTGCAGGAGTCATGGCCTTTTTCAAGGCCTTGGCAGCATCTTCTTCATCAGTGTGCTCCTCACAAACTGCAGTAACCTTCTCTTGCAAAGAAAGGTTGCCAAGTCTCTTGAGGTTCTTAGCACACAGCTTGCCCTTTTTCAAGGGCTTGTCCTTTTTCAAGGACTTGCTGCCACTGCTGGGGAGATGCTTGCCCTTTCCCAAGGGCTTGCCCTTTGGCAAGGGCTTGCCCTTTCCCAAGGGCTTGCCCTTTCCCAAGGGCTTGCCCTTTGGCAAGGGCTTGCCCTTTGGCAAGGGTTTGCCCTTTGGCAAGGGCTTGTCCTTTTGCAAGGGCTTGTTTTTTCAAAATTCCCTTTTTCAAGGGTTTTGCCATCTTGGAAATTTGCATTTTCTTCCTAAAAGTGTTTGAAGTTTAAAAAGGCTGCAGTTGCATGAAGGGTTTAGTTCATGTGTGTGTTTTAAAACAAACATATAATATATTATAAGGCATATAAATAGTTTTCTAGTCAAAACTACATAACAAATAAAAACACCATGCATATATCATACACAAGCATGTTCATTAATAACTATATATAAATAATATTTATTTATATAAATGTATATTATTAATTTTATGCAATTATATTGAATTATATTGAATATTTATGATTTAATTATTTTGCAGGTGGAAGAAAACCCATGATTTTTCAACCAAACCAAAGCAATACATTAACACAAACCAAAACAATATAAAACAAACATAGATAAAACATTTTTGTTATTTAAGCAAAACACGTGTTTTTCAATATTTTCCAAACCAAAACAAATTGATGTTACTAACCAAACAAACATACAACACATATAAGTTCAATAACAAAACCAATGTTCAACAAACATTGGTTACATTAATCTCAACTTTTTCAAGGTGTTGCAAATCTAAATCTGGTTTCAATCACTGGTTGTTGATTTTTTTCAAATGAATTTAAAAAAAACTGAAATCTGATGAAATTTGATGAAATTTGATGAAAACCAGGTTTTCATCAAATTTCATCAAAGTTCAGTTTTTTTTTTCAACACCATGATTTTTTTGATGAACCTGTTCAAAAAACAAATAAACTGATAGAATTGGATAGGATTGGATTGGCACTAACATTTTTAAAACCATAGTTTTTAATTTATAAACCTTTTCAAAACCAAAACAAATAGGTTAAATAGTTTTTAATGCTTTTTTGTACACAACAAAACAGTAAGGCAACATTTCACTGTCAAACCTGTATTGGACTATATTGAAACTATACTGGATTTTTTGAAAATACATTGTATAATTTGAGATAGATTCCAGATACTATTTGTGTCTGACTCTTAAAATAAATAATTTGAACACTTATTTCTGCAAGTAAGGATTTTCCCATCTGCATCTTAACCTTATATATATATATAAATCAAATTTAATTCATGTTTTTTCAGGTATGAATTCACTGGCTCCTGGAGCAACCCCTTCGCACGAAATGATGGCCAGTGGACCCGACCATGCTGAATGGCATGCAACAGCTGCGATAGTCTGCGGGCAGTGATCGCTTCAAGGTTTTGCAGGACAATATCGGGACGGACACAAGTTTTAGTTAGGCTCGCCATGACATTACACACTTGGTCACGTATTGTGATGAGGTGCACATTGTCAAGTCGTCATCTTAGATCTTTGCAATATTTAGATTAACAGCCTTATTAAATTTCACGAGTTCCTGGGATTTTGTGATTTTTAGGGAATATTGGATATCAAGGTCAAGATGCAATATTTGGTGCAGTGTACGCGCGCAAGGGTGGCACCAAAAAACTTAAGCGTCATGGTTGCACGGGTTTGCACTGGATCAGGCTTCCATAAATGGAATTGGTCCAATTAATCGTTCAGAAAAAATGAAACGGTCGGAAACGGTCGGAAACAGTCGGAAACGGTCGGAAACATGATCAGGCCAAAACTTGTCCAACCCGCATTTTTTTTTAAATAAGCATTTCCGCGCAATGCCGTTTTTTTTTGAAGGTCCAAAGGTGTCCAAGGGGAAACGGTTGGAAACAGTCGGAGATCGCACCTTCGCTCGGCAAAAAAGTAATTTATTTTGTAGCATATGTTCATGAAACATGTTTGAAAATTCTGTAAAAACATGTCTTTTTTGCCGAGCGAAGGTGCGATCTCCGACTGTTTCCAACCGTTTCCCCTTGGACACCTTTGGACCTTCAAAAAAAAACGGCGTTGCGCGGAAATGCGTAATACAAAAATGCGGTTGAACAAGTTTTTTTGGCCGGATCATGTTTTTCCGACGCCCGAGCATCCGAATATTGATAACAATCAATATGGGGCCAAGCACTTTTGATTTTCAATGTTTTTTCAATATAAAATATTGATTTCAGAGCCCTTGGTGTTATTTTTCTATATTGATTTGTTTGCTGGGTTTGAAAAGCAAGCCAAAAATCAATATAAAAATCCATATAAAAATCAATATCAAAATCAATATAAAAATCCATTTAAAAATCAATATTTTCCAATGTTTCCACTTGTCTCCCCTTTCCCTTTTGGACCCCAGACATTGCAGCACCAGCCCCCTCTTTTGGAGGGTTGTATGTACAAATTTCAAGGCAAAGTGTTATCCTTTGCCAAGGATCAGGACCCTTTCTCAAGGATTAGCTCCATCACTCCCTTTTTCAAGGGATGTCCTTTCTCAAGGGATGCCCTTTCTCAAGGGCCTCTGGCAACTTACCCTTTTGCAAGGGTTCTATCCTTTTGCAAGGATCAGTGCTGGTATCTTTCCCTTTCCCAAGGGATGTCCAAAGAGCTCCAGGGCTAAGGTGGCAGTGCCCTTTTGCAAGGGGTTTCCTTTTGCATTAAGGAGCATCCTTTCTCAAGGATTGATTTTGGCAATTTCCCTTTTGCAAGGGACATCCTTTCTCAAAGATTGCTTGTGGCAAACTCCCTTTTTCAAGGGGCACCCTTTCTCAAGGGCTAGTCTTGGCAATTGCCCTTTTGCAAGGGCAATCCTTTTGCCAGGGTGTCCCTTTCTCAAGGGATAGCAGAGCCAAGCTATTCAACGGAGGTTTGCAGATGAAACCCTGGCCTTGTGCACAGAAGATGTAATAAAATTCTGTACTTGATGGCCAGTTTTTGGCTGATCTTGGTTGCTTTCACACCCATGGACACACTGTGGGTCACAGTACTTATGTGACCCACATAGTCTTCTGCCTTGAAGCACCAGAAGACTCTGGGATTTAAATACCAGGCATCTTTTGCAAGATGTAGGAATGTATGGCGCTTGATGACTATGTGGAAGGAACTCCTTCCACAATCTTCCGACCATGCATTCAGCCACTGGTATTCTTTCATGGCATCTTGTGCCAATTGCCAAGACTTCTTGAACTCTGCTTTTGTGAGAAATGTTCCTGCAGAGTCCCAGATTGCCACCACCTGGCATACATGCTCTAAGCACTTGAGCATGTGGCTGTGCTCTGGCTTGCTGAAATCCAAGATGTTTTTCAAGACTTCCAGCAGGCATGGAGCCAGGTGCTTGCCTTCACCACCTTTACAGCTCAGGTTGGCCCAGTTTGCCCAAGGCTTCTTTGGATCAGTGAACATGCTTAGCACCAAATTGGTGAGCCTGCGTGTCACTTCTTTGTCGGTGTACACTGCTTGGACCTCTTTTTGCCTGGTGTGCACCTTCATCATACCAGCACAAATAATGCAGGATGGATCCAAGGAGGTGCCCATACAAACCTTTTGTGAACAGGATATGCAGGGCATCTCCTCTCACAAGCCTGCTACTGTTGCCAGGGACCTCAGTTAGCAAGGGGTGTTCACTGCTAGGAAAGGCCTGGGCCCAAGAGTGATCCACCTCTGTGAACTGATCCCATGGATGGAGCTTGTTGTATGGCTTCTCTCCAGCAGCTTGAGTGCAATCGCAATTCCAACATGGGGATGCATTCCTCCAATGGGGAAGGCCCAAGCTGTTGCTGAAGAATTCATGGTCTCCTTCAATGCACCACACAATGGCCTTAAGGCCTGATGCCAGTGGCTTGCCTTTCTTTGCCCAGAAAGGGCTCCCCTTTTTCAAGGGGTTGCCATCTGCATCATGAGTTGGGTGCTGTCCTTTTGCAAGGGCTTTGAAGGACCAAGCCAATTCTTTCCAGAGCTGTGGCCATGTGTCTTTGCAAGTGCAACTCTTGGGCCAAGCTGCCATGAGCAAGTGGCTGTCCAGGGATTGTTCTTGGGAGAGGAGTGGTCCAAAGCTCCAAACCATCAAGCTGTCCCTGGATTCATATTCCACTCCATCACCATGTGTGAACAGAGGGATGGTGACTTGCTCCCACCCTTTTTCAAGGGTTGCTGGATGGTTAACCAGCCTGTCATCATCCCTTGCCAAGGTTTGTTCCCAAAATTCAGGCAGCTCATGAAGCTTGAAAAGCTTTTGAAAAACTTCTGGGTAACTCTCAGCCAATGCACTGAACATGAGGTGTGGGTAGAAAATCGCAACATCCTCATCAATGATTTTGCTGGTCTTGGGGTCAAAGCATTTGCATGTGACCAAGCCAGGCTCAGGCACTGACAGCTGGTTGCAGAAGGGCCTTACCAAAGGCCCTGTGGCAATTTCGTGGCTGCTCTTCAAAATTCCCAGCTGCTCCAAGAGTTGCAACTTCAGGATGGCTGCAACCATCAAGTGTGGCCAGGTTGGAGAGCTTTTGCACTCCACTGCAGAGAGCTTGCCATGTGCCCAAAGGGACAATAGCTTTGTAGCCAAGTTGCTGGGTGCAGAACTTGTGGATGGGGTGTCTCCTTCTGTGTCTGCACCCAGATCCATATCCTTCTTCCACCCTCTCAGCCTCTTTGCATTTTTCATGGCTGAGGAAGTGCCTTTTCACAAAGGCTCAGGCAGAAGAGCACTTGGCTGGACCTTTTGCAAGGTCTCCCCCTGCAACCCTTTTGCAAGGGGTGTGGAAGCAGTCCTTTCTCAAGGATTGTCCTTTTGCAAGGGCTCTAGCCAGGCTGCTTTTGGTAAGACCTGCCCTTTTGCAAGGGTGTCCCTTTTGCAAGGGCTGTGCAAGCCAGCAACCCTTTTGCAAGGGTTTCCTGTTGCAAGGGGTGAGAGGCTGACCCTTTTGCAAGGGTGTCCTTGGCAAGGGTTTGCCTTTTGCAAGGCTTTCCTCTACCTTTTTCCAAAGGTTTGCCTTTTGCAAGGCTTTGCCTTTTGCAAGGCTTGCTATACCTTTTTGCAAAGGTGTGCCTTTTTGCCTTTTGCAAGGCTTTGCTTCCCTTTTGCAAGGGTTGGAACTTACCCTTTTGCAAGGGCCTAATCTCCTACTCTACTACCTACTAAACTAAACCTACAGTTTTGAAGCAAAACAGCTGCAGAGGCATGCATGTCACCTCAACCTATACATGCCTTTCCATGCATGCATTTCCCGTCACCATCTCCCCAAGCTGCAGCCAGCAAACTTTTTTCTAGGCATGTGAAGAAGTTCTCCTAGCTTCTATCTACCAAAATTGGATTTAAAAAAACTACCCTTTTGCAAGGGGCTTGCATGACCCTTTTGCAAGGGCTGGCACCCTTTTGCAAGTGTTGGGACTACCCTTTTGCAAGGGCCAGGAAGCATTTGGCAAGGGGTTACCCTTTTGCAAGGGTCAAAGGGAATGCCTGTGCCACTAACCCTTTTGCAAGGGCTGTGCAAGCCAGCATCCCTTTTGCAAGGGTTATCCTTTTGCAAGGATCACATGCTAGAAGCTTTGCTGGCTGCCTTGTTGGCAAGCTGCTTCAGCTCCTTGGCCTCCTCCTTGGCTTGCTTGCACATATTTGCACATTCCACCAATGCCTTTTTCAAGGTAGGTGGACCTGGCTTCTTCAGGAGCAAGTCTTTCAACTTGTCCTGGACCTTTTTCAAGGCCTGAAGCTTCTTCTCAATTTCATCTTTGGCCATCTTTGAGAGCCTGCTTTTGGCCTTTTGCAAGGTCTCTTCCAGTTCATTGATGCACTTGCTGCATTCATCCCTGGCTCTTTTGGCTCTCTTGAGGAGTTTCGCAGGATCTTCATCATCCTTCTCCTCATCCTGCTCCTCATCCTCCACCTCCTTGTCCTTGATGGCCAATTGTTGGCTTTTCCCTTGGCCTTTTGCAAGGCCTTTGCCTTTTGCAAGGCCTTGGCCTTTTCCAAGGCCTTTGCTTGTGTTCCCTTTTCCAAGGGATCCTTTGGCTCCATCTTGGCAGAGGCCCAGCACCCCAGTGTGGCCATCTGCCTGCCAAAGGCTGTCAAAGGCTTCCTCCTCCTGCTCAGCAGGATCATATTCCACACCCCTGGCAGTGGTTCTACCCTTAGTGACCTTGAAGTTCTTCTCAAGGTCTTGGGTATCTGAGTACTCCCACACACCCCAGGTGGTGGGACTCTCTCTCCAGCGGATCCTGCCTGAGGACAGATGAGCTTCAAACTCATCTTCTTCCCATATTTTCAACATCTCCTTCTTGCTGCTCCTTTTCTCCTTTTTGTTCCAAGAGGTGCTGCCAGCAACCTCTTCCTTGACATGGAGAAATCTGCTTCCTGCAGAGCTCTTTTTCAAGAGCCAAAGGGCAGCTGCAAACCCCTTCTCCAGCTTGCCTCTCTCATCATGCTCCCCCTTTTCCAAGGGGTTTCTCTTCAAGTGGGTCTGGTGTTGGCTCCAGACCTTTGCATTCTCTGCAGGAGTCATGGCCTTTTTCAAGGCCTTGGCAGCATCTTCTTCATCAGTGTGCCCCTCACAAACTGCAGCAACCTTCTCTTGCAAAGAAAGGTTGCCACGTCTGTTGAGGTTCTTAGCACACAGCTTGCCCTTTTTCAAGGGCTTGCCCTTTTTCAAGGACTTGCTGCCACTGCTGGGGAGATGCTTGCCCTTTCCCAAGGGCTTGCCCTTTGGCAAGGGCTTGCCCTTTGGCAAGGGCTTGCCCTTTCCCAAGGGCTTGCCCTTTGGCAAGGGCTTGCCCTTTGGCAAGGGCTTGCCCTTTTGCAAGGGCTTGTCCTTTTGCAAGGGCGTGTTTTTCAAAATTCCCTTTTTCAAGGGTTTTGCCATCTTGGAAATTGGCATTTTCTTCCTGAAAGTGTTTGAAGTTTAAAAAGGCTGCAGTTGCATGAAGGGTTTAGTTCATGTGTGTGTTTTAAAACAAACATATAATATATTATTAAGGCATATAAATAGTTTTCTAGTCAAAACTACATAACAAATAAAAAACACCATGCATATATCATACACAAGCATGTTCATTAATAACTATATATTTATATCTATATATATATATATAAATGTACATTATTAATTAAATTATACTAAATATTTAATATTAAATTATCTTGCATGTGGAAGAAAACACGTGATTTTTCAACCAAACCAAAGCAATACATTAACACAAACCAAAACAATATAAAACAAACATAGATAAAACATTTATGTTATTTAAGCAAAACACGTGTTTTACAATATTTTCCAAACCAAAACAAATTGATGTTACTAACCAAACAAACATACAACACATATAAATGCAATAACAAAACCAATGTTCAACAAACATTGGTTACATTAATCTCAACTTTTTCAAGGTGTTGCAAATCTAAATCTGGTTTCAATCACTGGTTGTTGATTTTTTTCAAATGAATTTAAAAAAAACTGAACTTTGATGAAATTTGATGAAAACCAGGTTTTCATCAAATTTCATCAAATTCCATCAAATTTCATCAAATTTCATCAAAGTTCTGTTTTTTTTTTCAAAACCATGATTTTTTTGATGAACTTTGATGAAATTTGATGAAATTTGATGAAAACCTGGTTTTCATCAAATTTCATCAAAGTTCAGTTTTTTTTTTCAAAACCATGATTTTTTGATGAACCTGTTAAAAAACAAATAAACTGATAGAATTGGATAGGATTGGATTGGCACTAACATTTTTAAAACCATAGTTTTTAATTTATAAACCTTTTCAAAACCAAAACAAATAGGTTAAATAGTTTTTGATGCTTTTTTTGTACACAACAAAACAGTAAGGCAACATTTCACTGTCAAACCTGTATTGGACTATATTGAAACTATACTGGATTTTTTTTTAAAAAATATATTGTATAATTTGAGATAGATTCCAGATACTATTTGTGTCTGACTCTTAAAATAAATAATTTGAACACTTATTTCTGCAAGTAAGGATTTTCCCATCTGCATCTTAACCTATTATATATATATAAATCAAATTTAATTCATGTTTTTCAGGTATGAATTCACTGGCTTTTAATTTTGGGTGAAGCAGTTTAGTACTCTGTGTTTCTATGTTGTTTCAAATATCATTGTGGAATTTGCTTGGATCAAGAAACTGCAGAGTCAACAGAAACATAATCATCTGCCTGCAGCCTGAAACAGACACCAAACAGCATTTGAGAAAACATATCAGTTTACAAAAATGAACCTTGACACCTTAAATCTTGAATGTGTGTGGTGTCCCTTTTGCAAGGGATAATGTTTAATTTGGTGCCCCTTTTGCAAGGGGTTGACATTCTGGGAAAGACTTTATTCCATTGCCGTTTTTTTCAGTAGTATCTGTGTTTCCCTGCTTGGTTGTTTTAGGGTCCATGCAAAACTCAAAAAAACATCAGGTTTTCACAAGGCATATGTCCATGGCAAAGGTTTCTAATTTAAAAAACAAGTTGTGTAAACAAGTTGTGTAAAGTTGCATGTATTTATATTTAATACATTAATTATTTAGTTATTTTGATTTATTTTTATTTATTTCATTTTTTTGCTGCTTGCTACACATTTGGTAGCTTCTGTACAAACCACTGTTGGGCTGCAGCTACAAGTGACCCTTTTGCAAGGGCTGGGCTATGGCTCAGGTTAGCACACAACAAACAGAAACACACAATGCTATATTGTATATGTATGTGTGTGTAAATACATGCATTTGCTATTGCAAATGCTGTGTGTAGACCTGGGCCACATGACCCTTTTGCAAGGGTTGCTCTTATTTGATCCTTTTGCAAGGACTATCCTTTTGCAAGGATTGGGGTGAGACACTGTCCCTTTTTCAAGGGGTATCCTTTTGCAAGGCTTGGGGTGAGACATCCCTTTTTCAAGGGGTATCCTTTTGCAAGGATTGGGGCCAGTCACCTACCCTTTTTCAAGGGTTATCCTTGGGGGTGGGGACACTTTACCCTTTTTCAAGGGTTATCCTTTTGCAAGGATTGGGGCTAGACACCTACCCTTTTTCAAGGGTTGCCATGTGAGAGCCATACCCTTTTTCAAGGGTTTTGCAGAGCACCCTTTTGCAAGGGCTGGAAGCAGTCTCAAAGATTGTAATCCCTGATGAGCTGCTTCACTGCATCTGCAAAGGATGCAAACCTGGAGTTTTCTGGCATCCATGCATGGCTCTCTCTGGGTGTCTGGATGCCATAGGTTTTGACACCCCATGAGCCCAGCTCTTGCAAGATGTCCTTTGAATCATCAAAGGCCACCTGGCAGCCCCACTCTGTGGCATACTCTGCCTTGCCCCCCACCCCAGTGCGACTGGTGCAGGTTCCCCACCAGTGAAGTTGGTCAATGAGATCTGGGAGCTTGTCCCAGATTTCCTTTTCAACTTTGGGGGCCTGCTTGGCCCCACAGAAGGAGAGCACATGCACCTCCACTCCTTTGTCAAGGAGCTTCTGCAGGGCCATGAGGTCCTGGACCAGCACAGTGTCCTGGGGACCATTTTTCAGGCAATGGTGCCAATCAACCAACACAGCCAAAGGTTCTGATTGGGCTTCAGGAGACTGCTTCTTTTCTGACCCTTTTTCAAGGGCTGCAGTCTCCTTCCCTTTTGCAAGGGATTTTGCCTGCTTGTTGGTGGCAGTCTTTGACTCCAGAACTGCCACCTTTTTGGCAACATTTCCTTTTTCAAGGAATTGCCCTTTTTCAAGGGCTGTTGCCTCCTCTTTTTCAAGAGGTTTTTTTTCCCCTTTTTCAAGGGGTGCAGCATTGCTGCTGCTTGCACCTGTCCCTTTCTCAAGGGGTGTGCCAGTTTCCAGCCTGGGACCAAGCTTCCCCTTTTTGAGGCTCTTAGTCAGCTTGTCCTTCAGCTCCTGGAACCTGGCTTCATTTTGCCCTTTTGCAAGGGCTTTCCCTTTCTCAAGGGGTGTCCCTTTTGCAAGGGCTTTGTTCTTGTTCCCTTTCTCAAGGGGTTTCCCTTTTGCAAGGGCTTCCTCCCCTTTTTCAAGGGGCTTGCCAGTGGACATCACCACCCTCTTGGCTTGCTTGGCAGCTCTTCTGGCTTGCCTAGCCCAAGAGGTGGTGCCCCCACCAGTCTTCCTTCCCTTGGAATTTCTCCAAGGTTCATCCTCCTCCCACTCCTCCTCTTCTTCCTCCTCCTCCTCCTCCTCCATGTCCACATCTTCCTTCTCCTTCTTCCTACTCATAGCTGCTAGGCTCAGAACCAAAAATGGCTGCAGGCAGGACATGTTCATGTGTTTAGTTTGCTTGTTTTAACAACTAAACATGTTTTGTTTGCTTTAGCATAGCATAGGAAAAGAGACAAAAACATATGGACAACAAACATGGCACAAAAGGAAATACAAGGAACACCCTTTTGCAAGGGCTACCCTTTTGCAAGGGGCAGGGTAGAGACAAACACCACAGGAAAGAAGAAGTGGGAAAGGAACAAAAGATAAGACATGTGCAAATATACACATATAACAAATATGTATATGCATGGTATGGAGCAACATGTTTTAAACAAAAAGCTATATATCATGCAAATACAGGAAATATGCATGGAAAGGAATGGTAGACATGAAAAGGCAAACTAATGGTTAAAGATAGAAAACTGCTTTAGGTGGGTGAAGGTATGAGAAAACAAGAAAAGAAGTATATCTCATTGGTGAGAAAAATAAGGAAGTGTGGTGGTGCTAGGTTTGCACATATGGGCATTTATATAGGTAACTGGAAGCCAGATCTAGAAGATTAAAGGGTTGCAAGTATAGGACAGTAGTGGCAAGATAGATAGCTATAGGTAGATAAAGGTGTGCAAGGTTAGAGGTGAAAATAAACAAACACATTATATATATATTGAAACATATACATATATATATACATACACATGTCAATATGCATGTTTTTCAAAACTATTTTCAAACAGTTCTCATGAGTTTACTTCATGTTTTTTCATATGTTGGTTTAATAATAACATATTTATATTTATTTTAGTTGTTTTAATAAATTTGTCTATTTACTTATTTTTAACATTTTTTGTAATTTCTTCATTTATCTAAAACTGGCCTATATACAACCTGCAAGGGCTGCATTCTGTACACACCCTTTTGCAAGGGCTGCTTTCTATATACATGCACCCTTTTGCAAGGGCTTTCTTCTCCACACCCTTTGGCAAGGGTTCTTCAAAAATTCCCTTTTGCAAGGGCTTGCCCTTTTACAAGGGCTATAAAGCCCTTTTGCAAGGGTTCTTTGTGGATGCTTACCCTTTCCCAAGGGCTCAAAGGTCCAAGGGTCAAGGGAAATTGTTCACCAGCACCTGTCTCATTTGCAAGGCTTCCTCTTTGCCAATCTTGTCCTTTTGCAAGGACTTCATGATCTCATCACAGATATATTCATGCTGTGAGCTCCAGGTAGCTGGGGCTTCTACAATCAAAATCCTTCTTGTCCCTTGTCCTTCTTGCAAGCATCCTGTGAGGTAGGTCCTTTTGTTTTTTTTTGCATTTGTCTTCCTCACATTATACCAAGGGCCATCTTTCATCCCTTGGTGCCCTTCCTCAAGGGTTTTCTTCCCTTTCTCAAGGGCTTTCTTCCCTTTCTCAAGGGCTTTCTTCCCTTTCTCAAGGGCTTTCTTCCCTTTCTCAAGGGCTTTCTTCCCTTTTTCAAGGGCTTTCTTCCCTTTCCCAAGGGACTTTGTCACCCCTTGGGGTTGGCTTTTCCCTTTTGCAAGGGTTCCTTCCACTTTAGTTTCAAGGGATGCAGGCCTTTTGCAAGGCTTGCTGCCATACCCCAATGCCTTTTGCAAGGCATGAGTTCCTTTTTCCTTTTGCAAGGATCCTTCCCTTCTCATCATAAATGATTTGGCATGGGAAGCAGAGCTGGCTTTTGGATGCTTCTCTTCTTGTTTCTCTGGTGTCAGAAACATCTTTGGAATGCCTGATGAGTCCAGAGAAACTGCATCCTCATCCTTTTTCAAGGACTCACCCTTTTGCAAGGGGGTTTCTTCACCCTTTTTCAAGGGCTGATGGTCTTCTTCAGGCAGCTTGACCATCTTTACCAGCTCCTGCAACTGCAGAAAGGAACTTGCATTCAGCTTGCTGGCACACAGCCTCATTTGGTCTTGGTCCCTTGCAAGCTTTCTGATGTGGAAGAAGATTGTGGCCAACCTATCTTGCTTCAAGTTGCTCCAGGTACTGCCATTCCATTTGGTCTTGTTAACTTCTGGCATTGAAGTAAGCATGGACAGCAAAGCCTGCCTCAAAGGTCCTGGAGCAACAGAGGCTGAGGGGCAAACAGCCAACAACCCTTTCACAAGGGGTGCAACCTTGACCAAGCCAGCTGGGTCTACTGCCCCTGCCCTGCTGACTGTTTCATACTGGCCAAGGTCTGCCACCAGCTCTGGTTTCTGACCCAAGACCTGCAGAAGCAAGGAAGGGTCAGTGTAAACCTTGGCCTTATGATTGGGCCCACCCCTGGCCATCCTTTTGCAAGGATTGCTATCCTTTTCCAAGGACTCCTTTTGCAAGGATTGCTGTCCTTTCTCAAGGACCCTTATCCTTTTGCAAGGATTGGTGAAGATATTTTAAAGAATTCTGTTTCACTTGAAAGCCAAAAACTGCAGAGTGCACACATTCCCAGACTCCAAAACCATGTCAAAAACCAACCACAAAATCAATATAAAATATTGATTTTGGAGGCTTCAAAATCAATATAAAATATTGGTTTTGGAGGCTTCAAAATCAATATAAAAATAGAGGAAAATGAGTATAAAAATCAAAGTGAATATCAATAGAAAGAGGCATTTGGTCCAACTTTTTATATTGATTTTGAAGCTTCAAAAGCATTAGTTTTATATTGATATTTATTTTGATTTTTTAGTAAAATCAATATCGATATTTTTTTGAAAAAATATTGATTGTAATCAATATCGGATGCTCAGGACCTTTTCCGACCGTTGTCGACTGTTTCCGACCGTTCAAATTTTTTCTGAACGTTAATTGACCATTCCATTTTATGGGAAAAGAGGAAGCCTGATCCGTTCAAACCCGTGCAAACCAGACGCTTAATGTTTTTGTGCCACCCTTGCGCGCGTACACTGCACCAAATATTGCATCTTGACCTTGATATCCAATATTCCCTAAAAATCACAAAATCCCAGGAACTCGTGAAATTTAATAAACAGCCTTAGGCCTTAGCTTCAGACTTTGATAATAGGTATATAATTCTGGCCTGCTCCTATAATATTTTGAGGGATAGGATGGTTCCCCCACCCTGGCGGGGGGCCAGGTCGGTTCTTTGCCTGACTCAACACCTTTGTGAGCAGCTTAGTTATTTGATGTTTAACTTTGATTCTTGTATTGCAACCAGAACTGTCTGAGCATTGAATTTGAAATTGAAGTGCATCAGCATGAGTCAACCAGAACTGTCTGAGACGTGTTGATGCACGCATCTTTGCTTGAGACATTCAGTTTCACCGTAGTGCATCCTGTCTCACCGTAGTGCATCGGCGTGAGTCAACACCTTTGTGAGCAGCTTAGGTATTTGATGTTTAACTTTGATTCTTGTATTGCAACCAGAACTGTCTGAGCATAACCGCAAGGCAAACAAAGACATGGTATGAATTGTTCGAGTAAGAGTGTGTTTCAATTCAAGTCACAGGTCCCCCGGAAGTCGGACCCTCAAAACTAAAAGCACATGGAAGGAGCACAAGGCCATCCCATTATTATATCTATTGTAAAATAACTGTGCTTGTCCCCAGCCCAAAACGTTCCCGCCTGCCCAGGTCCGCCCGTGCTATAAAACTTTTTTGGAGGGAAATGGCAAACCACGTTGGTTGGGGGGGCCCAAAGCACACAGCCCTCATGACATGTTTATACATGCTGGTTTCGAGTCAGATCATTTGATTCACCCCCCCCGTCGGATTGCTGAGGTGGCCACGACGACGATGACTTTGCTGGGAAAACATGGACCGGCCTATGTGTAAAAGCGTCTGTGTGTAAAAGCTTCTGTGTGTAAAAGCGTATGTCTGTGTAAAAGTGATTGTGTGTAAAAGCGCTTCTGTGTAAAAGTTTCTGTGTGAAAAAGTGTCTATGTGTAAAAGCTTCTGTGTGTAAAAGCTTTTGTGTGTAAAAGTGTTTGCATGTAAAAGCTTCTGTGTGTAAAAGCTCCTGTGTGTAAAAGGGTCTTTGTTAAAAGTGTCTGTGTGTAAAAGCGTCTGTGTGTAAGAGTGTCTGTGTGTAAAAGCGTCTGTGTAAAAGCGTTTGTGTGTAAAAGCTTCTGTCTGTAAAAGCTTCTGTGGGTAAAAGCTTTGTGTGTAAAAGCGTCTGTGTAAAAGCGTCTGTGTGTAAAAGTGTCTGTGTGTAAAACCGTCCGTGTGTACAAGCGTCTGTGTGTAAAAGGGTCTGTGTGTGAAAGTGTATGTCTGTAAAAGCTTCTGTATGTGAAAGCTTTTGTGTGTAAAAGCTGCTGTGTGTAAAAGCTTCTGTGTGTAAAAGCCTTTGTGTGTAAAAGCGTCTGTGTAAAAGCGTCTGTGTGTAAAAGTGTCTGCGTGTAAAACTGTCCGTGTGTACAAGCGTCTGTGTGTAAAAGGGTCTGTGTGTGAAAGTGTATGTCTGTAAAAGCTTCTGTATGTGAAAGCTTTTGTGTGTAAAAGCTGCTGTGTGTAAAAGCTTCTGTGTGTAAAAGCCTTTGTGTGTAAAAGCGTCTGTGTGTAAAAGCTTCTGTGTGTAAAAGTGTTGGCGATGCAAACTATTGTCTTGTACTTGTGCTATATTGTCTTGTTACTAGTCTTCTCGACTGCCTATGACACATCTTTAATATAATGTTTTTTAATATGATTTCTCCATACTAACAAGAGAAGACCCTGCTCCTCTACGCTCTCGGGCCATCCGTCGTCTAGTTTTTGGCTAAGGAACACAAAACCTTTGTTTTGAGGGTCCATGTTAGTGGCCGTTAGCATCTTTAAAGTCTTGCAAGAATATTGGACCTGGGAAAACCTTGGAAGGGGCACAAACATGAAATCATTCTGGGGTACCCCCTTTGTTGGCCCAAAAGATGACTCAGAAGAGCCTTTTTGAATAGAGACTTGTGAAAAGAAAAACGTGATATTTTGGATTGAAATCTGCACGGGGATCTTGGATGGTACCATCCTTTCTTGTGGCTGAAGATAGACCATGCATCTAGCACCAGGGTCTAAACAATAGGGAACCATTCTCATCAAACATGGGTATGATCTGCTTTGGGGACTTGTGTGGAATGATTGGAAACCGCCTCCAAACTTTGGCCATAGCATGCCAAAGCTACACCACCCCTACCATCAGGGTCTAGGTGAGCCTTCTTGTTGCTTTTGCATCGTTAGTTTCTACTTTTTTTTGGCTAAGGAACACAAAACCTTTGTTTTGAGGGTCCATGTTAGTGGCCGTTAGCATCTTTAAAGTCTTGCAAGAATATTGGACCTGGGAAAACCTTGGAAGGGGCACAAACATGAAATCATTCTGGGGTACCCCCTTTGTTGGCCCAAAAAATGATTCAGAAGAGCCTTTTTGAATAGAGACTTGTGAAAAGAAAAGCATGATATTTTGGTTTGAAATCTGCACGGGGATCTTGGATGGTACCATCCTTTGTTGTGGCTGAACATAGACCATGCATCTAGCACCAGGGTCTAGGTAAATTATAAAAACAATAGGGAACCATTCTCATCAAACATGGGTATGATCTGCTTTTGGGGACTTGTGTGGAATGTTTTGGAAACCGCCTCCAAACTTTGGCCACAGCATGCCAAAGCTACACCACCCCTACCATCAGGGTCTAGGTGAGCCTTCTTGTTGCTTTTGCATCGTTAGTTTCTACTTTTTTTGGGCTAAGGAACACAAAACCTTTGTTTTGATGGTCCATGTTAGTGGCCGTTAGCATCTTTAAAGTCTTGCAAGAATGTTGGACCTGGGAAAACTTTGTCAGGGGCACAAACATGAAATCATTCTGGGGTACCCCCTTTGTTGGCCCAAAAAATGACTCAGAAGAGCCTTTTTGAATAGAGACGTGTGAAAAGAAAAGCATGATATGTTGGTTTGAAATCTGCACGGGGATCTTGGATGGTACCATCCTTTGTTGTGGCTGAAGATAGATCATGCATCTAGCACCCGGGTCTAGGTAAACCATAAAAACAATAGGGAACCATTCTCATCAAACATGAGAATGATCTGCTTTGGGGACTTGTGTGGAATGTTTTGGAAACCGCCTCCAAACTTTGGCCACAGCATGCCAAAGCTACACCACCCCTACCATCAGGGTCTAGGTGAGCCTTCTTGTTGCTCTTGCATTGTTAGTTTCTACTTTTTGTTGGCTAAGGAACACAAAACCTTTGTTTTGAGGGTCCATGCTAGTGGCCGTTAGCATCTTTAAAGTCTTGCAAGAATGTTGGACCTGGGAAAACTTTGGAAGGGGCACAAACATGAAATCATTCTGGGGTACCCCCTTTGTTGGCCCAAAAAATGACTCAGAAGAGCCTTTTTGAATAGAGACGTGTGAAAAGAACAGCATGATATTTTGGTTTGAAATCTGCACGGGGATCTTGGATGGTACCATCCTTTGTTGTGGCTGAACATAGACCATGCATCTAGCACCAGGGTCTAGGTAAATTATAAAAACAATAGGGAACCATTCTCATCAAACATGGGCATGATCTGCTTTGGGGACTTGTGTGGAATGTTTTGGAAACCGCCTCCAAACTTTGGCCACAGCATGCCAAAGCTACACCACCCCTACCATCAGGGTCTAGGTGAGCCTTCTTGTTGCTCTTGCATTGTTAGTTTCTACTTTTTGTTGGCTAAGGAACACAAAACCTTTGTTTTGAGGGTCCATGTTACTGGCCGTTAGCATCTTTAAAGTCTTGCAAGAATGTTGGACCTGGGAAAACTTTGGAAGGGGCACAAACATGAAATCATTCTGGGGTACCCCCTTTGTTGGCCCAAAAAATGACTCAGAAGAGCCTTTTTGAATAGAGACGTGTGAAAAGAAAAGCATGATATTCTGGATTGAAATCTGCACAGGGATCTTGGATGGTACCATCCTTTCTTGTGGCTGAGCATAGACCATGCATCTAGCACCAGGGTCTAAACAATAGGGAACCATTCTCATCAAACATGGGTATGATCTGCTTTGTGGACTTGTGTGGAATGATTGGAAACCGCCTCCAAACTTTGGCCATAGCATGCCAAAGGTACACCACCCCTACCATCAGGGTCTAGGTGAGCCTTCTTGTTGCTTTTGCATCGTTAGTTTCTACTTTTTTTGGGCTAAGGAACACAAAACCTTTGTTTTGAGGGTCCATGTTAGTGGCCGTTAGCATCTTTAAAGTCTTGCAAGAATATTGGACCTGGGAAAACCTTGGAAGGGGCACAAACATGAAATCATTCTGGGGTACCCCCTTTGTTGGCCCAAAAAATGATTCAGAAGAGCCTTTTTTAATAGAGACTTGTGAAAAGAAAAGCATGATATTTTGGTTTGAAATCTGCACGGGGATCTTGGATGGTACCATCCTTTGTTGTGGCTGAAGATAGACCATGCATCTAGCACCAGGGTCTAAACAATAGGGAACCATTCTCATCAAACATGGGTATGATCTGCTTTGGGGACTTGTGTGGAATGTTTTGGAAACCGCCTCCAAACTTTGGCCACAGCATGCCAAAGCTACACCACCCCTACCATCAGGGTCTAGGTGAGCCTTCTTGCTGCTTTTGCATCGTTAGTTTCTACTTTCTTTTGGCTAAGGAACACAAAACCTTTGTTTTGAGGGTCCGTGTTAGTGGCCGTTACGATCTTTAAAGTCTTGCAAGAATATTGGACCTGGGAAAACCTTGGAAGGGGCACAAGCATGAAATCATTCTCGGGTACCCCCTTTGTTGGCCCAAAAAATGACTCAGAAGAGCCTTTTTGAATAGAGACTTGTGACAAGAAAAGCATGATATTTTGGTTTGAAATCTGCACGGGGATCTTGGATGGTACCATCCTTTGTTGTGGCTGAACATAGACCATGCATCTAGCACCCGGGTCTAGGTAAACCATAAAAACAATAGGGAACCATTCTCATCAAACATGGGCATGATCTGCTTTGGGGACTTGTGTGGAATGTTTTGGAAACCGCCTCCAAACTTTGGCCACAGCATGCCAAAGCTACACCACCCCTACCATCAGGGTCTAGGTGAGCCTTCTTGTTGCTTTTGCATCGTTAGTTTCTACTTTTTCCCGAGAGCGTTTGAGCGCAGGGTTCTTCCAATAGTGGGGGTCTGTATCTCATCTTCTCATCTTCACATCTGCTCATCTTCAAACCTGCTCATCTTCACACCTGCTCGTCTTCACATCTTCTCATCTTCACATCTGCTCATCTTCACATCTGCTCATCTTTACATCTGCTCATCTTCACATCTGCTTATCTTCACACCTGCTCATCTTCACACCTGCTCATCTTCACATCTGCTCATCTTCACATCTGCTCATCTTCACATCTGCTCATCTTCACATCTGCTCATCTTCACATCTGCTCATCTTGCTCATCTTCACATCTGCTCATCTTCACATCTGCTCATCTTCACACCTGCTCATCTTCACATCTGCTCATCTTCACATCTGCTCATCTTCACATCTGCTCATCTTCACATCTGCCTTTTCTCTCTCCCTTTTCTCTCTCTCGCCTTCTTTATCTTTCTCTCTTTAGGCCGAGGGTGGTACCGGCGGCGAGTCACGAAATGTCAACCCTTTCGCACGAAATGAGGGTCGATCAGCAAAAACTGAGGTAAAATTGCGATTTTACTTGTGCTGGAGCAACCCTTTCGCACGAAATGAGGGTCGATCGGCAAAAACTGAGGTAAATTTGCGAGTTTACTTGTCCCGGAGCAACCCTTTCGCACGAAATGAGGGTCGATCGCCAAAACTGGACTGGCTGACTGGCTGGCCTGTGGAACTGGACTGGGGACTGGGGGCTGGGAGGTAAAATTTTGCATTTTTTCTGTGGCCGGACTTGTCCCGGAGCAACCCTTTCGCACGAAATGAGGGTCGATCGCCAAAAACTGAGGTAAAATTTGCTGAGGTGTTGCTGTATATCCAGACTTCTTTTTTTCTTTTGCCGGACTTGTCCCGGAGCAACCCTTTCGCACGAAATGAGGGTCGATTTCAAAAACCTTAGGAAAAATTGCGATTTTTCTTGCCGGACTTGTCCTGGAGCAACCCCTTCGCACGAAATGATGGCCAGTGGACCCGACCATGCTGAATGGCATGCAACAGCTGCGATAGTCTGCGGGCAGTGATCGCTTCAAGGTTTTGCAGGACAATATCGGGACGGACACAAGTTTTAGTTAGGCTCGCCATGACATTACACACTTGGTCACGTATTGTGATGAGGTGCACATTGTCAAGTCGTCATCTTAGATCTTTGCAATATTTAGATTAACAGCCTTATTAAATTTCACGAGTTCCTGGGATTTTGTGATTTTTAGGGAATATTGGATATCAAGGTCAAGATGCAATATTTGGTGCAGTGTACGCGCGCAAGGGTGGCACCAAAAAACTTAAGCGTCATGGTTGCACGGGTTTGCACTGGATCAGGCTTCCATAAATGGAATTGGTCCAATTAATCGTTCAGAAAAAATGAAACGGTCGGAAACGGTCGGAAACAGTCGGAAACGGTCGGAAACATGATCAGGCCAAAACTTGCCCAACCCGCATTTTTTTTAATACGCATTTCCGCGCAACGCCGTTTTTTTTGAAGGTCCAAAGGTGTCCAAGGGGAAACGGTTGGAAACAGTCGGAGATGGCACCTTCGCTCTAAAAATCCATATAAAAATCCATATAAAAATCAATATCAAAATCAATATAAAAATCCATTTAAAAATCAATATTTTCCAATGTTTCCACTTGTCTCCCCTTTCCCTTTTGGACCCCAGACATTGCAGCACCAGCCCCCTCTTTTGGAGGGTTGTATGTACAAATTTCAAGGCAAAGTGTTATCCTTTGCCAAGGATCAGGACCCTTTCTCAAGGATTAGCTCCATCACTCCCTTTTTCAAGGGATGTCCTTTCTCAAGGGATGCCCTTTCTCAAGGGCCTCTGGCAACTTACCCTTTTGCAAGGGTTTTATCCTTTTGCAAGGATCAGTGCTGGTATCTTTCCCTTTCCCAAGGGATGTCCAAAGAGCTCCAGGGCTAAGGTGGCAGTGCCCTTTTGCAAGGGGTTTCCTTTTGCATTAAGGAGCATCCTTTCTCAAGGATTGATTTTGGCAATTTCCCTTTTGCAAGGGACATCCTTTCTCAAGGATTGCTTGTGGCAAACTCCCTTTTTCAAGGGGCACCCTTTCTCAAGGGCTAGTCTTGGCAATTGCCCTTTTGCAAGGGCAATCCTTTTGCCAGGGTGTCCCTTTCTCAAGGGATAGCAGAGCCAAGCTATTCAACCTCGGTTTGCAGATGAAACCCTGGCCTTGTGTACAGAAGATGTAATAAAATTCTGTACTTGATGGCCAGTTTTTGGCTGATCTTGGTTGCTTTCACACCCATGGACACACTGTGGGTCACAGTACTTATGTGACCCACATAGTCTTCTGCCTTGAAGCACCAGAAGACTCTGGGATTTAAATACCAGGCATCTTTTGCAAGATGTAGAAATGTATGGTGCTTGATGACTATGTGGAAGGAACTCCTTCCACAATCTTCCGACCATGCATTCAGCCACTGGTATTCTTTCATGGCATCTTGTGCCAATTGCCAAGACTTCTTGAACTCTGCTTTTGTGAGAAATGTTCCTGCAGAGTCCCAGATTGCCACCACCTGGCATACATGCTCTAAGCACTTGAGCATGTGGCTGTGCTCTGGCTTGCTGAAATCCAAGATGTTTTTCAAGACTTCCAGCAGGCATGGAGCCAGGTGCTTGCCTTCACCACCTTTACAGCTCAGGTTGGCCCAGTTTGCCCAAGGCTTCTTTGGATCAGTGAACATGCTTAGCACCAAATTGGTGAGCCTGCGTGTCACTTCTTTGTCGGTGTACACTGCTTGGACCTCTTTTTGCCTGGTGTGCACCTTCATCATACCAGCACAAATAATGCAGGATGGATCCAAGGAGGTGCCCATACAAACCTTTTGTGAACAGGATATGCAGGGCATCTCCTCTCACAAGCCTGCTACTGTTGCCAGGGACCTCAGTTAGCAAGGGGTGTTCACTGCTAGGAAAGGCCTGGGCCCAAGAGTGATCCACCTCTGTGAACTGATCCCATGGATGGAGCTTGTTGTATGGCTTCTCTCCAGCAGCTTGAGGGCAATCGCAATTCCAGCATGGGGATGCATTCCTCCAATGGGGAAGGCCCAAGCTGTTGCTGAAGAATTCATGGTCTCCTTCAATGCACCACACAATGGCCTTAAGGCCTGATGCCAGTGGCTTGCCTTTCTTTGCCCAGAAAGGGCTCCCCTTTTTCAAGGGGTTGCCATCTGCATCATGAGTTGGGTGCTGTCCTTTTGCAAGGGCTTTGAAGGACCAAGCCAATTCTTTCCAGAGCTGTGGCCATGTGTCTTTGCAAGTGCAACTCTTGGGCCAAGCTGCCATGAGCAAGTGGCTGTCCAGGGATTGTTCTTGGGAGAGGAGTGGTCCAAAGCTCCAAACCATCAAGCTGTCCCTGGATTCATATTCCACTCCATCACCATGTGTGAACAGAGGGATGGTGACTTGCTCCCACCCTTTTTCAAGGGTTGCTGGATGGTTAACCAGCCTGTCATCATCCCTTGCCAAGGTTTGTTCCCAAAATTCAGGCAGCTCATGAAGCTTGAAAAGCTTTGAAAAACTTCTGGGTAACTCTCAGCCAATGCACTGAACATGAGGTGTGGGTAGAAAATCGCAACATCCTCATCAATGATTTTGCTGGTCTTGGGGTCAAAGCATTTGCATGTGACCAAGCCAGGCTCAGGCACTGACAGCTGGTTGCAGAAGGACCTTACCAAGGCCCTGTGGCAATTTCCTGGCTGCTCTCCAAAATTCCCAGCTGCTCCAAGAGTTGCAACTTCAGGATGGCTGCAACCATCAAGTGTGGCCAGGTTGGAGAGCTTTTGCACTTCCACTGCAGAGAGCTTGCCATGTGCCCAAAGGGACAATAGCTTTGTAGCCAAGTTGCTGGGTGCAGAACTTGTGGATGGGGTTTCTCCTTCTGTGTCTGCACCCAGATCCATATCCTTCTTCCACCCTCTCAGCCTCTTTGCATTTTTCATGGCTGAGGAAGTGCCTTTTCACAAAGGCTCAGGCAGAAGAGCACTTGGCTGGACCTTTTGCAAGGTCTCTCCCTGCAACCCTTTTGCAAGGGGTGTGGAAGCAGCCCTTTCTCAAGGATTGTCCTTTTGCAAGGGCTCTAGCCAGGCTGCTTTTGGTAAGACCTGCCCTTTTGCAAGGGTGTCCCTTTTGCAAGGGCTGTGCAAGCCAGCAACCCTTTTGCAAGGGTTTCCTTTTGCAAGGGGTGAGAGGCTGACCCTTTTGCAAGGGTGTCCTTGGCAAGGGTTTGCCTTTTGCAAGGCTTTCCTCTACCTTTTTCCAAAGGTTTGCCTTTTGCAAGGCTTTGCCTTTTGCAAGGCTTGCTATACCTTTTTGCAAAGGTGTGCCTTTTTGCCTTTTGCAAGGCTTTGCTTCCCTTTTGCAAGGGTTGGAACTTACCCTTTTGCAAGGGCTTAATCTCCTACTCTACTACCTACTAAACTAAACCTACAGTTTTGAAGCAAAACAGCTGCAGAGGCATGCATGTCACCTCAACCTATACATGCCTTTCCATGCATGCATTTCCCTTCACCATCTCCCCAAGCTGCAGCCAGCAAACTTTTTTCTAGGCATGTGAAGAAGTTCTCCTAGCTTCTATCTACCAAAATTGGATTTAAAAAAACTACCCTTTTGCAAGGGGCTTGCATGACCCTTTTGCAAGGGCTGGCACCCTTTTGCAAGTGTTGGGGCTGCCCTTTTGCAAGGGTTGGGGCTGCCCTTTTGCAAGGGCCAGGAAGCATTTGGCAAGGGGTTACCCTTTTGCAAGGGTCAAAGGGAGTGCCTGTGCCACTAACCCTTTTGCAAGGGCTGTGCAAGCCAGCATCCCTTTTGCAAGGGTTATCCTTTTGCAAGGATCACATGCTAGAAGCTTTGCTGGCTGCCTTGTTGGCAAGCTGCTTCAGCTCCTTGGCCTCCTCCTTGGCTTGCTTGCACATATTGGCACATTCCACCAATGCCTTTTTCAAGGTAGGTGGACCTGGCTTCTTCAGGAGCAAGTCTTTCAACTTGTCCTGGACCTTTTTCAAGGCCTCCACCTTCTTCTCAATTTCATCTTTGGCCATCTTTGAGAGCCTGCTTTTGGCCTTTTGCAAGGTTTCTTCCAGTTCATTGATGCACTTGCTGCATTCATCCCTGGCTCTTTTGGCTCTCTTGAGGAGTTTCGCAGGATCTTCATCATCCTTCTCCTCATCCTGCTCCTCATCCTCCACCTCCTTGTCCTTGATGGCCAATTGTTGGCTTTCCCCTTGGCCTTTTGCAAGGCCTTTGCCTTTTGCAAGGCCTTGGCCTTTTCCAAGGCCTTTGCTTGTGTTCCCTTTTCCAAGGGATCCTTTGGCTCCATCTTGGCAGAGGCCCAGCACCCCAGTGTGGCCATCTGCCTGCCAAAGGCTGTCAAAGGCTTCCTCCTCCTGCTCAGCAGGATCATATTCCACACCCCTGGCAGTGGTTCTACCCTTAGTGACCTTGAAGTTCTTCTCAAGGTCTTGGGTATCTGAGTACTCCCACACACCCCAGGTGGTGGGACTCTCTCTCCAGCGGATCCTGCCTGAGGACAGATGAGCTTCAAACTCATCTTCTTCCCATATTTTCAACATCTCCTTCTTGCTGCTCCATTTCTCCTTTTTGTTCCAAGAGGTGCTGCCAGCAACCTCTTCCTTGACATGGAGAAATCTGCTTCCTGCAGAGCTCTTTTTCAAGAGCCAAAGGGCAGCTGCAAACCCCTTCTCCAGCTTGCCTCTCTCATCATGCTCCCCCTTTTCCAAGGGGTTTCTCTTCAAGTGGGTCTGGTGTTGGCTCCAGACCTTTGCATTCTCTGCAGGAGTCATGGCCTTTTTCAAGGCCTTGGCAGCATCTTCTTCATCAGTGTGCTCCTCACAAACTGCAGTAACCTTCTCTTGCAAAGAAAGGTTGCCAAGTCTCTTGAGGTTCTTAGCACACAGCTTGCCCTTTTTCAAGGGCTTGTCCTTTTTCAAGGACTTGCTGCCACTGCTGGGGAGATGCTTGCCCTTTCCCAAGGGCTTGCCCTTTGGCAAGGGCTTGCCCTTTCCCAAGGGCTTGCCCTTTCCCAAGGGCTTGCCCTTTGGCAAGGGCTTGCCCTTTGGCAAGGGTTTGCCCTTTGGCAAGGGCTTGTCCTTTTGCAAGGGCTTGTTTTTTCAAAATTCCCTTTTTCAAGGGTTTTGCCATCTTGGAAATTTGCATTTTCTTCCTAAAAGTGTTTGAAGTTTAAAAAGGCTGCAGTTGCATGAAGGGTTTAGTTCATGTGTGTGTTTTAAAACAAACATATAATATATTATAAGGCATATAAATAGTTTTCTAGTCAAAACTACATAACAAATAAAAACACCATGCATATATCATACACAAGCATGTTCATTAATAACTATATATAAATAATATTTATTTATATAAATGTATATTATTAATTTTATGCAATTATATTGAATTATATTGAATATTTATGATTTAATTATTTTGCAGGTGGAAGAAAACCCATGATTTTTCAACCAAACCAAAGCAATACATTAACACAAACCAAAACAATATAAAACAAACATAGATAAAACATTTTTGTTATTTAAGCAAAACACGTGTTTTTCAATATTTTCCAAACCAAAACAAATTGATGTTACTAACCAAACAAACATACAACACATATAAGTTCAATAACAAAACCAATGTTCAACAAACATTGGTTACATTAATCTCAACTTTTTCAAGGTGTTGCAAATCTAAATCTGGTTTCAATCACTGGTTGTTGATTTTTTTCAAATGAATTTAAAAAAAACTGAACTTTGATGAAATCTGATGAAATTTGATGAAATTTGATGAAAACCAGGTTTTCATCAAATTTCATCAAAGTTCAGTTTTTTTTTCAACACCATGATTTTTTTTGATGAACCTGTTCAAAAAACAAATAAACTGATAGAATTGGATAGGATTGGATTGGCACTAACATTTTTAAAACCATAGTTTTTAATTTATAAAGCTTTTCAAAACCAAAACAAATAGGTTAAATAGTTTTTAATGCTTTTTTGTACACAACAAAACAGTAAGGCAACATTTCACTGTCAAACCTGTATTGGACTATATTGAAACTATACTGGATTTTTTGAAAATACATTGTATAATTTGAGATAGATTCCAGATACTATTTGTGTCTGACTCTTAAAATAAATAATTTGAACACTTATTTCTGCAAGTAAGGATTTTCCCATCTGCATCTTAACCTTATATATATATATAAATCAAATTTAATTCATGTTTTTTCAGGTATGAATTCACTGGCTTTTAATTTTGGGTGAAACAGTTTAGTACTCTGTGTTTCTATGCTGTTTCAAATATCATTGTGGGATTTGTTTGGATCAAGAAACTGCAGAGTCAACAGAAACATAATCATCTGCCTGCAGCCTGAAACAGACACCAAACAGCATTTGAGAAATCATCTCAGTTTACAAAAATGAACCTTGACACCTTAAATCTTGAATGTGTGTGGTGTCCCTTTTGCAAGGGATAATGTTTAATTTGGTGCCCCTTTTGCAAGGGGTTGACATTCTGGGAAAGACTTTATTCCATTGCCTTTTTTTTCAGTAGTATCTGCGTTTCCCTGCTTGGTTGTTTTAGGGTCCATGCAAAACTCAAAAAACATCAGGTTTTCACAAGGCATATGTCCATGGCAAAGGTTTCTAATTAAAAAAACAAGTTGTGTAAACAAGTTGTGTAAAATTGCATGTATTTATATTTAATACATTAATTATTTAGTTATTTTGATTTATTTTTATTTATCTATTTCATTTTTTTTGCTGCTTGCTACACATTTGGTAGCTTCTGTACAAACCACTGTTGGGCTGCAGCTACAAGTGACCCTTTTGCAAGGGCTGGGCTATGGCTCAGGTTAGCACACAACAAACAGAAACACACAATGTTATATTGTATATGTATGTGTGTGTAAATACATGCATTTGTTATTGCAAATGCTGTGTGTAGACCTGAGCCACATGACCCTTTTGCAAGGGTTGCTCTTATTTGATCCTTTTGCAAGGATTATCCTTTTGCAAGGGTTGGGGTGAGACACTGTCCCTTTTTCAAGGGGTATCCTTTTGCAAGGCTTGGGGTGGGACATCCCTTTTTCAAGGGGTATCCTTTTGCAAGGATTGGGGCCAGTCACCTACCCTTTTTCAAGGGTTATCCTTGGGGGTGGGGACACTTACCCTTTTTCAAGGGTTATCCTTTTGCAAGGATTGGGGCTAGACACCTACCCTTTTTCAAGGGTTGCCATGTGAGAGCCATACCCTTTTTCAAGGGTTTTGCAGAGCACCCTTTTGCAAGGGCTGGAAGCAGTCTCAAAGATTGTAATCCCTGATGAACTGCTTCACTGCATCTGCAAAGGATGCAAACCTGGAGTTTTCTGGCATCCATGCATGGCTCTCTCTGGGTGTCTGGATGCCATAGGTTTTGACACCCCATGAGCCCAGCTCTTGCAAGATGTCCTTTGAATCATCAAAGGCCACCTGGCAGCCCCACTCTGTGGCATACTCTGCCTTGCCCCCCACCCCAGTGCGACTGGTGCAGGTTCCCCACCAGTGAAGTTGGTCAATGAGATCTGGGAGCTTGTCCCAGATTTCCTTTTCAACTTTGGGAACCTGCTTGGCCCCACAGAAGGAGAGCACATGCACCTCCACTCCTTTGTCAAGGAGCTTCTGCAGGTCCTGGACCAGCACAGTGTCCTGGGGACCATTTTTCAGGCAATGGTGCCAATCAACCAACACAGCCAAAGGTTCTGATTGGGCTTCAGGAGACTGCTTCTTTTCTGACCCCTTTTCAAGGGCTGCAGTCTCCTTCCCTTTTGCAAGGGATTTTGCCTGCTTGTTGGTGGCAGTCTTTGACTCCAGAACTGCCACCTTTTTGGCAACATTTCCTTTTTCAAGGAATTGCCCTTTTTCAAGGGCTGTTGCCTCCTCTTTTCAAGAGGTTTTTTTTTCCCTTTTTTAAGGGGTGCAGCATTGCTGCTGCTTGCACCTGTCCCTTTCTCAAGGGGTGTGCCAGTTTCCAGCCTGGGACCAAGCTTCCCCTTTTTGAGGCTCTTAGTCAGCTTGTCCTTCAGCTCCTGGAACCTGGCTTCATTTTGCCCTTTTGCAAGGGCTTTCCCTTTCTCAAGGGGTGTCCCTTTTGCAAGGGCTTTGTTCTTGTTCCCTTTCTCAAGGGGTTTCCCTTTTGCAAGGGCTTCCTCCCCTTTTTCAAGGGGCTTGCCAGTGGACATCACCACCCTCTTGGCTTGCTTGGCAGCTCTTCTGGCTTGCCTAGCCCAAGAGGTGGTGCCCCCACCAGTCTTCCTTCCCTTGGAATTTCTCCAAGGTTCATCCCCCTCCCACTCCTCCTCTTCTTCCTCCTCCTCCTCCATGTCCACATCTTCCTTCCCCTTCTTCCTACTCATAGCTGCTAGGCTCAGAACCAAAAATGGCTGCAGGCAGGACATGTTCATGTGTTTAGTTTGCTTGTTTTAACAACTAAACATGTTTTGTTTGCAGCATAGCATAGGAAAAGAGACAAAAACATATGGACAACAAACATGGCACAAAAGGAAATACAAGGAACACCCTTTTGCAAGGGCTACCCTTTTGCAAGGGGCAGGGTAGAGACAAACACCACAGGAAAGAAGAAGTGGGAAAGGAACAAAAGATAAGACATGTGCAAATATACACATATAACAAATATGTATATGCATGGTATGGAGCAACATGTTTTAAACAAAAAGCTATATATCATGCAAATACAGGAAATATGCATGGAAAGGAATGGTAGACATGAAAAGGCAAACTAATGGTTAAAGATAGAAAACTGCTTTAGGTGGGTGAAGGTATGAGAAAACAAGAAAAGAAGTATATCTCATTGGTGAGAAAAATAAGGAAGTGTGGTGGTGCTAGGTTTGCACATATGGGCATTTATATAGGTAACTGGAAGCCAGATCTAGAAGATTAAAGGGTTGCAAGTATAGGACAGTAGTGGCAAGATAGATAGCTATAGGTAGATAAAGGTGTGCAAGGTTAGAGGTGAAAATAAACAAACACATTATATATATATTGAAACATATACATATATATATACATACACATGTCAATATGCATGTTTTTCAAAACTATTTTCAAACAGTTCTCATGAGTTTACTTCATGTTTTTTCATATGTTGGTTTAATAATAACATATTTATATTTATTTTAGTTGTTTTAATAAATTTGTCTATTTACTTATTTTTAACATTTTTTGTAATTTCTTCATTTATCTAAAACTGGCCTATATACAACCTGCAAGGGCTGCATTCTGTACACACCCTTTTGCAAGGGCTGCTTTCTATATACATGCACCCTTTTGCAAGGGCTTTCTTCTCCACACCCTTTGGCAAGGGTTCTTCAAAAATTCCCTTTTGCAAGGGCTTGCCCTTTTACAAGGGCTATAAAGCCCTTTTGCAAGGGTTCTTTGTGGATGCTTACCCTTTCCCAAGGGCTCAAAGGTCCAAGGGTCAAGGGAAATTGTTCACCAGCACCTGTCTCATTTGCAAGGCTTCCTCTTTGCCAATCTTGTCCTTTTTCAAGGACTTCATGATCTCATCACAGATATATTCATGCTGTGAGCTCCAGGTAGCTGGGACTTCTACAATCAAAATCCTTCTTGTCCCTTGTCCTTCTTGCAAGCATCCTGTGAGGTAGGTCCTTTGGGTTTTTTTTGCATTTGTCTTCCTCACATTATACCAAGGGCCATCTTTCATCCCTTGGTGCCCTTCCTCAAGGGTTTTCTTCCCTTTCTCAAGGGCTTTCTTCCCTTTCTCAAGGGCTTTCTTCCCTTTCTCAAGGGTTTTCTTCCCTTTTTCAAGGGCTTTCTTCCCTTTCTCAAGGGCTTTCTTCCCTTTCCCAAGGGACTTTGTCACCCCTTGGGGTTGGCTTTTCCCTTTTGCAAGGGTTCCTTCCACTTTAGTTTCAAGGGATGCAGGCCTTTTGCAAGGCTTGCTGCCATACCCCAATGCCTTTTGCAAGGCATGAGTTCCTTTTTCCTTTTGCAAGGATCCTTCCCTTCTCATCATAAATGATTTGGCATGGGAAGCAGAGCTGGCTTTTGGATGCTTCTCTTCTTGTTTCTCTGGTGTCAGAAACATCTTTGGAATGCCTGATGAGTCCAGAGAAACTGCATCCTCATCCTTTTTCAAGGACTCACCCTTTTGCAAGGGGGTTTCTTCACCCTTTTTCAAGGGCTGATGGTCTTCTTCAGGCAGCTTGACCATCTTTACCAGCTCCTGCAACTGCAGAAAGGAACTTGCATTCAGCTTGCTGGCACACAGCCTCATTTGGTCTTGGTCCCTTGCAAGCTTTCTGATGTGGAAGAAGATTGTGGCCAACCTATCTTGCTTCAAGTTGCTCCAGGTACTGCCATTCCACTTGGTCTTGTTAACTTCTGGCATTGAAGTAAGCATGGACAGCAAAGCCTGCCTCAAAGGTCCTGGAGCAACAGAGGCTGAGGGGCAAACAGCCAACAACCCTTTCACAAGGGGTGCAACCTTGACCAAGCCAGCTGGGTCTACTGCCCCTGCCCTGCTGACTGTTTCATACTGGCCAAGGTCTGCCACCAGCTCTGGTTTCTGACCCAAGACCTGCAGAAGCAAGGAAGGGTCAGTGTAAACCTTGGCCTTATGATTGGGCCCACCCCTGGCCATCCTTTTGCAAGGAGTGCTGTCCTTTTCCAAGGACTCCTTTTGCAAGGATTGCTGTCCTTTCTCAAGGACCCTTAACCTTTTGCAAGGATTGGTGAAGATATTTTAAAGAATTCTGTTTCACTTGAAAGCCAAAAACTGCAGAGCGCACACATTCCCAGACTCCAAAACCATGTCAAAAACCAACCACAAAATCAATATAAATATTGGTTTTGGAGGCTTCAAAATCAATATAAAAATAGAGGAAAATGAGTATAAAAATCAAAGTGGATATCAATAGAAAGAGGCATTTGGTCCAACTTTTTATATTGATTTTGAAGCTTCAAAAGCATTAGTTTTATATTGATATTTATTTTGATTTTTTAGTAAAATCAATATCGATATTTTTTTAAAAAAAATATTGATTGTAATCAATATCGGATGCTCAGGGACCGTTTCCGACCGTTTCCGACCGTTTCCGACTGTTTCCGACCGTTTCCGACCGTTTCATTTTTTCTGAACGATTAATTGGGCCAATTCCATTTATGGAAGCCTGATCCAGTGCAAACCCGTGCAAACCATGACGCTTAAGTTTTTTGGTGCCACCCTTGCGCGCGTACACTGCACCAAATATTGCATCTTGACCTTGATATCCAATATTCCCTAAAAATCACAAAATCCCAGGAACTCGTGAAATTTAATAAACAGCCTTAGGCCTTAGCTTCAGACTTTGATAATAGGTATATAATTCTGGCCTGCTCCTATAATATTTTGAGGGATAGGATGGTTCCCCCACCCTGGCGGGGGGCCAGGTCGGTTCTTTGCCTGACTCAACACCTTTGTGAGCAGCTTAGTTATTTGATGTTTAACTTTGATTCTTGTATTGCAACCAGAACTGTCTGAGCATTGAATTTGAAATTGAAGTGCATCAGCATGAGTCAACCAGAACTGTCTGAGACGTGTTGATGCACGCATCTTTGCTTGAGACATTCAGTTTCACCGTAGTGCATCCTGTCTCACCGTAGTGCATCGGCGTGAGTCAACACCTTTGTGAGCAGCTTAGTTATTTGATGTTTAACTTTGATTCTTGTATTGCAACCAGAGCTGTCTGAGCAATACACGGCACAAATACATGGTATGAATGTTAAGATAAGAGTTTCAATTCAAGTCACAGTCCGGAGTCAGGACCCTAAACCTAAAAAGCACATGGAAAGGAGCACAAGGGCCATCCCATTAATTATATCATATTGTAATACTGTGCTTGTCCCAGCCCAAAAACGTTCGCCGCCTGCCAGGTCCGCCCGTTTATACTTTTTGGAGGGAAATGGCAAACCACTTTGGTTGGGGGGGCCCCAAAGCACACAGCCCTCATGACATGTTTATACATGCTGGTTTCGAGTCAGATCATTTGATTCACTCCCCCCGTCGGATTGCTGAGGTGGCCACGACGACGATGACTTTGCTGGGAAAACATGGACCGGCCTATGTGTAAAAGCGTCTGTGTGTAAAAGCTTCTGTGTGTAAAAGCGTATGTCTGTGTAAAAGTGATTGTGTGTAAAAACGCTTCTGTGTAAAAGTTTCTGTGTGAAAAAGTGTCTATGTGTAAAAGCTTCTGTGTGTAAAAGCTTTTGTGTGTAAAAGTGTTTGCATGTAAAAGCTTCTGTGTGTAAAAGCTCCTGTGTGTAAAAGGGTCTTTGTTAAAAGTGTCTGTGTGTCAAAGCGTCTGTGTGTAAGAGTGTCTGTGTGTAAAAGCGTCTGTGTAAAAGTGTCTGTGTGTAAAAGCTTCTGTCGGTAAAAGCTTCTGTGGGTAAAAGCTTTGTGTGTAAAAGCGTCTGTGTAAAAGCGTCTGTGTGTAAAAGTGTCTGTGTGTAAAACCGTCCGTGTGTACAAGCGTCTGTGTGTAAAAGGGTCTGTGTGTGAAAGTGTATGTCTGTAAAAGCTTCTGTATGTGAAAGCTTTTGTGTGTAAAAGCTGCTGTGTGTAAAAGCTTCTGTGTGTAAAAGCCTTTGTGTGTAAAAGCGTCTGTGTAAAAGCGTCTGTGTGTAAAAGTGTCTGCGTGTAAAACCGTCCGTGTGTACAAGCGTCTGTGTGTAAAAGGGTCTGTGTGTGAAAGTGTATGTCTGTAAAAGCTTCTGTATGTGAAAGCTTTTGTGTGTAAAAGCTGCTGTGTGTAAAAGCTTCTGTGTGTAAAAGCCTTTGTGTGTAAAAGCGTCTGTGTGTAAAAGCTTCTGTGTGTAAAAGTGTTGGCGATGCAAACTATTGTCTTGTACTTGTGCTATATTGTCTTGTTACTAGTCTTCTCGACTGCCTATGACACATCTTTAATATAATGTTTTTTAATATGATTTCTCCATACTAACAAGAGAAGACCCTGCTCCTCTACGCTCTCGGGCCATCCGTCGTCTAGTTTTTGGCTAAGGAACACAAAACCTTTGTTTTGAGGGTCCATGTTAGTGGCCGTTAGCATCTTTAAAGTCTTGCAAGAATATTGGACCTGGGAAAACCTTGGAAGGGGCACAAACATGAAATCATTCTGGGGTACCCCCTTTGTTGGCCCAAAAGATGACTCAGAAGAGCCTTTTTGAATAGAGACTTGTGAAAAGAAAAACGTGATATTTTGGATTGAAATCTGCACGGGGATCTTGGATGGTACCATCCTTTCTTGTGGCTGAAGATAGACCATGCATCTAGCACCAGGGTCTAAACAATAGGGAACCATTCTCATCAAACATGGGTATGATCTGCTTTGGGGACTTGTGTGGAATGATTGGAAACCGCCTCCAAACTTTGGCCATAGCATGCCAAAGCTACACCACCCCTACCATCAGGGTCTAGGTGAGCCTTCTTGTTGCTTTTGCATCGTTAGTTTCTACTTTTTTTTTGGCTAAGGAACACAAAACCTTTGTTTTGAGGGTCCATGTTAGTGGCCGTTAGCATCTTTAAAGTCTTGCAAGAATATTGGACCTGGGAAAACCTTGGAAGGGGCACAAACATGAAATCATTCTGGGGTACCCCCTTTGTTGGCCCAAAAAATGATTCAGAAGAGCCTTTTTGAATAGAGACTTGTGAAAAGAAAAGCATGATATTTTGGTTTGAAATCTGCACGGGGATCTTGGATGGTACCATCCTTTGTTGTGGCTGAAGATAGACCATGCATCTAGCACCCAGGGTCTAGGTAAACCATAAAAACAATAGGGAACCATTCTCATCAAACATGGGTATGATCTGCTTTGGGGACTTGTGTGGAATGTTTTGGAAACCGCCTCCAAACTTTGGCCACAGCATGCCAAAGCTACACCACCCCTACCATCAGGGTCTAGGTGAGCCTTCTTGTTGCTTTTGCATCATTAGTTTCTACTTTTTTTGGCTAAGGAACACAAAACCTTTGTTTTGAGGGTCCATGTTAGTGGCCGTTAGCATCTTTAAAGTCTTGCAAGAATATTGGACCTGGGAAAACCTTGGAAGGGGCACAAACATGAAATCATTCTGGGGTACCCCCTTTGTTGGCCCAAAAAATGACTCAGAAGAGCCTTTTTGAATAGAGACGTGTGAAAAGAAAAGCATGATATTTTGGTTTGAAATCTGCACGGGGATCTTGGATGGTACCATCCTTTGTTGTGGCTGAAGATAGATCATGCATCTAGCACCCTGGTCTAGGTAAACCATGAAAACAATAGGGAACAATAGGGAACCATTCTCATCAAACATGGGTATGATCTGCTTTGGGGACTTGTGTGGAATGTTTTGGAAACCGCCTCCAAACTTTGGCCACAGCATGCCAAAGCTACACCACCCCTACCATCAGGGTCTAGGTGAGCCTTCTTGTTGCTTTTGCATCGTTAGTTTCTACTTTTTTTTGGCTAAGGAACACAAAACCTTTGTTTTGAGGGTCCATGTTAGTGGCCGTTAGCATCTTTAAAGTCTTGCAAGAATGTTGGACCTGGGAAAACCTTGGAAGGGGCACAAACATGAAATCATTCTGGGGTACCCCCTTTGTTGGCCCAAAAAATGACTCAGAAGAGCCTTTTTGAATAGAGACTTGTGAAAAGAAAAACGTGATATTTTGGATTGAAATCTGCACGGGGATCTTGGATGGTACCATCCTTTGTTGTGGCTGAAGATAGATCATGCATCTAGCACCCGGGTCTAGGTAAACCATAAAAACAATAGGGGACCATTCTCATCAAACATGGGTATGATCTGCTTTGGGGACTTGTGTGGAATGTTTTGGAAACCGCCTCCAAACTTTGGCCACAGCATGCCAAAGCTACACCACCCCTACCATCAGGGTCTAGGTGAGCCTTCTTGTTGCTTTTGCATCGTTAGTTTCTACTTTTTTTGGCTAAGGAACACAAAACCTTTGTTTTGAGGGTCCATGTTAGTGGCCGTTAGCATCTTTAAAGTCTTGCAAGAATATTGGACCTGGGAAAGCCTTGGAAGGGGCACAAACATGAAATCATTCTGGGGTACCCCCTTTGTTGGCCCAAAAAATGACTCAGAAGAGCCTTTTTGAATAGAGACGTGTGAAAAGAAAAACATGATATTTTGGTTTGAAATCTGCACGGGGATCTTGGATGGTACCATCCTTTGTTGTGTCTGAAGATAGATCATGCATCTAGCACCAGGGTCTAAACAATAGGGAACCATTCTCATCAAACATGGGTATGATTTGCTTTGGGGACTTGTGTGGAATGTTTGGAAACCGCCTCCAAGTTGGCAGTTGACTTGTCAATAGCGGTTTATAGATTGGTTAAGTGAAGTGCTTGTTTCTACAAGCACGCCCTTGTCTTGTGAAAGTCTCTAACTTCCGTTTATCCTCTTTCTCCTTCCCTTCTTCTTGCTCTTCCCCCCTTCTAGGTAAAAGGGTCTATGAGATCCATATCTGGAATGGAGTCCATTCAAATAAAGTTATTATTGACAGGGTCTGTGTTAGTGTGGTAAAGCGAGAATGCAATTTATAGGGTCTATGTCTTGCTCGTTTTTTCATTTTGTCCATTGTATCCCCAGGGTCTATGTGATCCCCA